GGTGACACCAGAGGCAGGAGACCTAGGGGATCCGATGACTGCTGGGACTTGGAGAAAGATATTAGAGAAGGCCGGAGCCTCCTCGGGAAGGAAAAAAGATCCTGCAGAACAGAGAAGCCTGGTGGATCCCTGAAGGTCACAGAGGACGCCCAGAGGACATAAGAGGAGACAGCAGAGAGTCCTGCCAGGCCCTGACTCCTTTTTGTGAGCAGCGGAGACAAATGTGTGCTGACTGGACCCATCAGCTCATGAAGGGCGCTGCCCCTTTGGAGGGAGGGGGAGGATCACGGACACAGTCGCCCCTCTCTGCCCATTCACTCCGCAGAGAATGGCTGCAGCCCCCTCCCCTCAGACCAGGAGGAAGCCCCTGTCTCCTGGTCTCCTGCTCACCCACCCTCCCAGCTCACCGAGGACCGCCAGAAGTGAGAAGAAAAGTGCAGCGTTGCTGTCTGCACTGCGCACTTCACCAAGACGGTTGCTGAAGCAGGTTCAGCCCAAACCCTCAAGTCTGCCTCCAGAGGTTATGGGTGCTCCATCACTGGAAGCATTCAAGGAGAGACTGGACCACCTTTTGTTCGGAATGAGTTCTCTGCTCGAGCAGAGGGTTGGACTAGAAGACCTCCAAGGTCCCATCCAACTCTGTTATGAGAGAGAGAGAGAGAGAGAGAGGGAGGGAGGGAGGGAGGGAGGGAAGGAAGGAAGGAAGGAAGGAAGGAAGGAAGGAAGGAAGGAAAAAAAAGAAAGGAAAGGAAGGAAGAAAGAAAAGAAAAAGAAAGACAGGAAAGAAAGGAAGGAAGGAAGAGAAAGAAAGAAAGAAAGAGAAAGAAAGAAAGAAAGAAAGAAAGAAAGAAAGAAAGAAAGAAAGAAAGAAAGAAAGAGAAAGGAGCTTCTTATCCAACTGCCTGCTCAGATAACGAGACAAATGGCTGTCCAGTCTCTTCTTAAAAACCTCCAGTGTTGGAACATTCTGGAGGCAGGTTGTTCCACTGGTTAATTGTCGGAAGTTTCTCCTTAGTTCTAGGTTGCTCCTCTCCTTGATTAGTTCCCATCCATTGCTTCTTGTCCTGCCTTCAGGTCTTTATGGCAGCCCCTCAAATACTGGAAGACTGGTGTCACGTCACCCTTCATCCTTCTCTTCCTTAAACTAAACCTGCCCAATTCCTTCAAGCATTCATTGTACAGTTTATCCTCCAGCCCCCGAATCATTCTTGATGCTCTTCTCTGCACTCTTTCCAGAGTCTCAACCTTTTTCTTATATTGTGGTGACCAAAACTGGGATGCAATATTCCAAGTGGGGTCTCACCAAGGCCTTATAAAACGGTACTAACACATCACCTGATCTTGATTCTACCCCACGGTTAACGCGGCCCGGGATCGCATTGAATCAGGTAAGGAATATCTCTGACAAGGTGACTCAGTGGGGCAGGGCTGTCTACTGCCTCACAAAATCCCTTCTTTTATTATCTAGATACTGATATTCAGAGAAATAAACTGATCGGTTTGGACTCTTAAGTACAGGACGTAAGGGAAAATGCTATTTTAAAGAGTGTAATAGGAGACCTGGTGGGATGATTAGAATAAAGCCATTAAAAGATATAATTTCTTCAAAAAGAACAGAAGCAACAGACAGGGAGAATCTGTGCTGTGCGTTGAATGTTTCCATTTCTGTCGAGAAATTGAAATTAATGATTTTGCCAATGTTCTGAAGAACATCTGCATTAAAATACCCAGAGGAAAATATAAGCTTTATGGCAGCTGTGATCCAAGAGGAAAATATGGCTGATGCCTCCTAAAATGGGACCAAAGGGGGCTCACGGACCAGTAAAGACGCCTCTTCTGGGTGCAGAATCCTGCTCCGGAGGTTGCAGGGGGCAAGGCCCGGGTGCGGAACTGGGCTGCGGGTCTGGAGCAGCGGCCACCCCAGTGTTCAGTGGCTCTCCTAATAATAATAATAATAATAATAATAATAATAATAATAATAATAATAGTAATAAAGTTGGAGGGGACCTTGGAGGTCATCAAGTCCAACCCCCTGCTCAGGCAGGTAACCCTATACCATTTCGGACAAATGGCTGTCCAATCTCTTCTTAAAAACTTCCAGTGTTGGAGCATTCACCACTTCTGGAGGTAGGTTGTTCCACTGGTTAATTGTTCTAACTGTCAGGAAGTTTCTCCCGAGTTTCAGGTTGCTTCTCTCCTTGATGAGTTTCCACCCATTGCTTCTTGTCCTGCCTTCAGGGGCTTTGGAGAATAGGTTGACCCCCTCTTCTTTGGGGCAGCCCCTCAAATACTTGAAGACTGTTATCATGTCATCCCTTGTCCTTCGCTTCATTAAACTAACAGAAGAGAATAACAGCTGGAAGGGATCTTGGAGATCTTCTAGTTGGACCCCAAGCTCAAACAGGAAACCCTAGACCACTTCAGACAAGTGATTGTCCAGTCTCTTCTTAAAAGCCTCCAGTGATGAAGCGCCCATAATTTCTGGTGGCAAACTGTTCCTCTGGTTAATTGTTCCCCATTATCAGGAAGTTTCTCCTTAGTTCTAGGTTGCTTCTCTCCCTGATTTAGTTTCCATCCGTTGGTTCTTGTCCTGCCTTCAGGGGCTTTGGAGAATAGCTTGACTCCCTCTTCTTTGGGGCAGCCCCTGAGATACTGGAAGACTGCTCTCATGCCCCCCCTCGTCCTTCTCTTCATTAAACTAGACATACCCAATTCCAGCAACCTTTCCTTATATGTTTTAGTTTCCAGTCCCCTGATCATCTTTGTTGCTCTTCTCTGCACTCTTTCTAGAGTCTCAACATCTTTTTTACATCATGGTGACCAAACCTGGATGCTGTATTCCAAGTGTGGCCTTACCAAGGCATTGAAGAGTGGTATTAACCCTTCACATGATATGGATTCTCTCCCTCTGTTAATGCAGCCTAGCACTGTGTTGGCCTTTTTGGCAGCTGCAGCACACAGCTGGCTCCTATCTAACTGATTGTCCACTAGGACTCTGAGGTCCCTCTCACAGTTACTACTATGACTGATTGACCTTGAGCTGTGATTAGAGTCCTCACCCTGGTGGGCTTGGGCAGCTGCAACTTCCTGCCCTGCGGCTGGAGAAGGACCTGTGCTCAGTTCCCCCACTGGAGGAGGGAGCTACTGGGTGGGTTTGTGCCCACTCGCAGGAAGATCTGGAAAGGGAGGGCAGCAGCCCCTTCCCCTTGTCCATGCTGGAGAACTCCATGGCCTGTCCAGAGCTTTGCGGGGGGGGGAGGGCAAACCCTTCCAAGCAAATGGTTTGGCCCCGGGTTGCTTCTGGGACATGCACGGATCCTGGCAGACACTTGGGGGCCAGGCCAGCAGTTCCCTCTCGCAGGAAGAACCCCAAATGCTTGGATTCCTGGTCTTGGAAAGTTCCCTCTTTTTACAGAGGATGTCGTCACCCAGGCCACTGTAGGAGCAGCTGAAAAGTGGCCATCAGACAGCGTGACCGGTGGCCATTTGAACAGCTGTAAGGAAGCTATGCAGCCCAAGTGAGAGGCAGTCGTTGGACAGGCTAAGACAGGTCTTCAAACTTGGCCCTTGGATGACTTGTGGACTTCAACTCCCAGAATTCCTCAGCCAAGCACACGTGCCTGGCTGAGGAATTCTGGGAGTTGAAGTCCACAAGTCATCCAAGGGCCAAGTTTGAAGACCCCTGCCTTAAATCTAACAAACAAAATGGAGGCTGGCTGAGAAATTCTGGGACTTGAAGTCACAAGTCACAAAAGGGCCAAGTTTGAAGACCCCTGGGCTAAGAGTGGATATCCCATGTGCTAAGAGAAGGCCAGGTAGGCCAACAAGGTGGCAACAGGCGGAACAGAACAGCTGCAGCACAGGCACAGCAGTCCAGCTGGGAGGTGACTGTTGCAACAGCTGGGAGAAAGCCACTAGAAATAGAATGGACAGTGTCCGGTGTGACTTTATGCCTCCCCAGGAAGCAGTTACAACCAGATGGACAGAAAACGTGCAAGAGGTAAAACAAAATCAAACTTTTATTTCCAAAAAATGACACCCATGATATGGTGCATGTTGCCCAATCAACAGCAGCACAGGCAGCGCCCCAAAGGCCCTCCCCAAAGGAGGACTGGGGGAGGGAGGGAAGGAGGGGGAAGGGAGACAGCACTGAAGTTGGGCCTCAGCTCCCAATGAACCAGGAGGAAAGAAGGCCGAATTTAGCCTGGAACCAGAGTTTGCTCAACTTCTGCACAGAGAAGGAATCAGAGCTTCTCGCCTGCCTGGGCAAAGAGTGTTAAAGCTAAGGTGACCAACCGTCCTCCTTTAGGGAGGACAGTCCTCCTTTTATGAATTCTGTCCTCCCTCGAAAAGTGTCCTCCTTCATGTCCTCCTTTTCAATATTTGAAGACTAATCTGCAGGGCTTTTTTTTCCTCATAGAACGCTCAGAACGGCTTCTGGGACCTTTTTTTGATGTTTTTTTTTTTTTGCATGAGCTGTACTACTCCCCCTATTGGCTTTCGAAAGCCAATAGGAATTGCAGCTGAGTGGGCCAAAACACCCGGCCGGCAGACTTTGCACATGCAAGTTGTCTGCAGCGAAGGTGAATTGGCAGGAACTTTGCACCCCTCCCTGCTACCCAACTACACCATCCCCTAGTTAGTCCCAAAGATACCTGAAGGAGACTGGAGCAGCGATACCACAGTCACTTTCTCTTGATCTTCGCCCCTGCTAGGGCACTAATGGCTGCGGGTGCAAGAGGCAGGGGTGGTGGGGCTGCTGCAGGCGGGGGTGTGATGGGTGGTGGTGGCCGGCTGCCCCCCATGCTGTGGGAGCCGGGGGGGGGGTGTCTGCTCTACACGGGGCTGTGCAGGGTGGGCAGGGGTGCTGGTGGGGCAGCTGCAGCGGGGTGTGTCGATGGCGGGCTGCCCCCTGGGGCCAGAGCCAGCGCAGCTGCTGCTTTGGGAGCTGCGGGGCCCGCTGTACACGGCGGGGCAGCAGTGCTGGCGGGGCAGCTGCGGGCAGGGGCGCGGCATGTTAAACATAATTACAATATAAAATGTTATTGTTACAAATGGTTTTTATTATGCATTTATCATATTATAATGTATTCTGTATTATTGTTGCAATGAATAAAATGTTTCTTTTATTTACGATATTTTTCTCTTCGATTTATTTGTGTCCTCCTTTTCATTGTAAAAAAGTTAGTCACCTTAGTTAAACCTCCACACGATACGGGGAGGGAGCAGTTAAAGTAATTTCAGCCAAGGGCAATTTGAGCAGGGGGTTGGGCTAGAAGACCTCCAAGGTCCCTTCCAACGCTCTCTTTCCCTTAAAACCAGTATCCAAATTCTCCCAGCGTGAAGCAGCTCTTAGAAAGGCAGAGCCTGCTTTGGATTCCAGGACAAGGGGGGGCAGACGAGAGCCCCCCTCCCTTCCAACCATGGGTGATTAGTTCCAAAGCGGCAAAGAGCAGCCCCCCCCCATGAAGTCTCCCTGAAGGATTCCACGGGCTTCTCTCTCGGCTGCTTCCTGAGCAGAGGATGGAAGGCCTAGCTGGGGAAGTGCTGGTGGACGGAGCTCCCACTCCATTCAGTGGGTCAGGGCCGGGGCAGGAGAGAATTGACCCCCTTCCTGCCCCTGGCAAGTCTCCTGCAGGCGGTGGGGCCCCGGGCAGCATTCGGCCCTCCAAGCAGAGAGGCAGCACCCATTAACTGGCCAGCCAGGGAGGGGTCAAAGCTGCGCAGCGATGGCCCCACGTCCAGAGGCATTTCGAAGCAGGGGGGGCGGTGAGGGGGGGCTCAGCCGGCCTCATTGTTCAGGGCACTTCAGGACGTCCTGCTTGAAGTAGCCCACCCGGTTCACCTGATACCGGGGGGTCATTTGCCAGCAGAAGGGGTGGCGGCAGAAGTGGAACCGGCCTGGAAGAGGGGAAGCGACTGGTGAAGGTGAGCGGGCGCTGTGGGGCAGCCACGGGGAGGGAGGCGCAGGGACCCCCGGGGGACACCTCCTCGTGGCAGAGGAGAGGCCTGGGGTTCAGGGCCGGCACCCCACCTGAGGCTGTTCCCCCTCCTGCCCTCCTTACCTTTGTAAAGCTTTCTGCGTGTGTGTGTGTGTGTGTGTGTGTGTGTGTGTGTGTGTGTGTGTGTGCCTCCCCTTTATGAGAGAGCTTCTTCTGCCCCCCCCCCCTGCCCCCCCTCCTGCTCTGGAAGAACCAGCCAGCCAGCCATAGGGAAGATCTGGCTCAGTGCTGCCCTCCAGTGGTCATCTGTCTCCTGCAGCCCCCCCACCCCCCACTGCTAGCTTGGGCTCCCCCCTTGCACAGCGGAGACCCCCCTGCAGAGGACCCACGAGGGGGGCTGTCTAGACCCCCTGAGGCTGTACCCCCTCCTGCCCTCCTTACCCTTGTACTGGAAGACCAGGTCAGCATCGATGGGGACCCCGGGAAAGAGGCTGTCCAGGTAGCGGGGAAACCCCTTGTCCACCTGCTCCTTCTTCACATCCAGCCTGGGCGGGGGAGGGGGGAAGAAAAGTTAGCAAGATCCCTCTAGATGCCCTCTAGATGCCCCTGAGGATGCCTCTTCCTGTGCCGGGATCGGTAGTCCCAGCTCTGCTGTCCTCCTGCCTGGGGCTCCAGCCTGTCTTGGGGGTTGCAGCTTCCCCCCCCAGCCCAAAGTGGCCAGGCCAGGCCCAGGCAAAGCAGCCGGGGAGAGCTCAGGCCAAGGGGGAGGGGGGTCCCCCTGGGAATGCCGGAGCCCCCTGGCTGGACGCTGCTTGAGATCCCTGGAGGCTGAGCAGTCGCTGTCCCCTCAGCCCAGCCTTTGGCCCCCCAAGCAGGGGACTGGGCAGAGCCCCCCCACAGGTTCTGCCCCTCCCCCAGGCCCGTGTACCTCCAGAACTGATCCCCGCTGAAGAGCAGGACCCTGCCCTGCCTCCGGGTCAGGCTGCCCGCAATCTTGGCCACGTCACTCCCGATGCCCAGCTTGTCCAGGCTCCGAGGGCCGACCACCCGCGTCCCCTGGTACACCCAGAAGCGCTGGCCTGCAAGAGGAAGGGGAGGGTGGGTAGTGGAGCAGGGCCTCCCCCCGGGCAGAGAAGCCGGCCCCGAGGGCTCCAGGGGGGCCCTTCCTGTCCCTCGGCAGGGGGAGAGGCAGGGGGGATCCGGAGTCTCAGGGCCGCCCCCTAAATGCCGATGGTTGGAGGGCCACGAATCTCTCGGGTGGGGAGGGGGCCTCACCTGAGAAGAAGAAGAGCTTCTTGGTCAGAGGGTCCTGGAAAGCCGCGTCAATCACGTCTGGGAGGGCCGGCCAGGTGCTCTGGATCCGCAGGGGGCCCTGGAGGGGTCCAGCTCCAGTGCCCGACTTTCGCCAGTATTGCCTGAGCAGGAAAGGCAACTCAGCCTGACCTCAGTTTCCCCTGCTGCGCCCAACGCCCAGCCCTTCCAGGCCAGCCGTGGGCGCAGGGAGACCCTGCCCCCCGGCTCTGCCCAGCCCCCTTCCTGCCCCCCCCTCACCCGTCCTTGAAGAAGTGCAGCAGCTTCTGGATCTCGCCCACCGCATCAAAGCGCTCCACTCGGCAGGCACTGCTCTGGCCGTCCACCGCGGGGGTCTCCGTCACGGAAGAGCCATCGTCGTCCCCAGCTTCTGTGGGGGCCTGAGTAGGGGGGCTGGGCACCGTGGGCTGAGGGCCTGATCCTCGACCTAATGGGGGGGGAGAAGAGAAGGAGGAGCAGCACAAGCATCAGAGGCACTGATTCAGGGGTGGGAGGGGAACTCAGAAAAGCCCCTCCCCTAATGCAGAAGCAGCTCTAGAGAGAAGCCATGATGGGGGGGGATGCTGTCTGCTGATGGGGATTGCTGTGCTGGGCAGGGGTGGACTGGAGGAGCTTCAGGAGTCCTTCCACATTATGCTAAAGGAATTTGGGTCTTGTATTACTCATGGAAACGGCTTCCAGACCAGGGCACTCAGGACAGGGTGTTTGAACAGCCCCCCAGCCCTGAGCCACCCCAATTCCTTCGGGAGCTTCCCAAGCAGGGCCGGATTGCTGCTTGAGGAGGGCGGACATCTTCCCCTTCTGTTTCCCCCCCCCTCCAGCAGCTCCCACTCACCATAGAGATACTGGATTCCGGCCACGTCGTCCGAATGCAGCTGGAAGTCGGCCAGGTAGGTGTACATGGGGTACATCAGGGCTTCCCGGACGCTGGAGTGCTCCAGGCCCAGCGCGTGTCCGAACTCGTGTGCCGCAACCAGGAAGAGGCTGTAACCTGAGGGTGCAAAGTGGCAACAGGGGCTGGACCGGGGCCCTGCTTTGGAGGCCTCACCTGGGGGCCCTCAATCCCTGTGGCCCCTGGGACATCGCCTCCCCTCACTGCCCTTCCCCCTTCTGAAGAAGGTACCCATTACTCCAGGCTGCCAGAGAGCCCTCCCCACACACTTGCCCGGCCCTGTCTGATTGGGGGGCGCTGCTCATCTCCATTTCTTGGTCAAAGACATCATGGGGCCAGCATGGCTATACGCCAAAGGCTCACGGAACTCTGTTATCTTTCCCACCCAAGTGGTACCTATTTATCTACTCACATCTGCCTGCTTCGGAACTGCTAGATGGGCAGGAGCTGGAGCAAGGAACAGGGGCTCACCCCGTTGCGCGGCACTTAGCTGACAAACTCAGCATTGTTAACTGGTGAGCTATCGTGCCCTGTGTGTATGTAGGGTACGTGCAGGCGTGTACCGCTAAGGCCGCCCCACCAGCTTCCCAGTGAGGCAGATAGAGGGGCTTCCCCCGTACCTTGGTCAGGGCAAAGGCCCCACTTCTTGTCTGCATCGTAGTCGGCGGTGGTGGCGCACCAGAGCTTCCCGTCGCTGCGTCCCTCGGAGGTGCAGCTGCTGTACGTCTGGCCCAGGAACTTGAAGGGGAAGGAGCAGGGGTCGCCTTGGGAGTTCCCTCCAATCACGGCCGTGTCTGGGGGGGGGGAATAATTCAGTCTTGGTCCCCAGCCCCAGAAGCCCCCCTGGCCAGGCGGGAGGGACGGGAAGACCGAAGACGGCTGTTGCTTGGGCAGGGCAGGGGGCAGGGGAAAGGGCCCGAAGCTGAGCCTGAGATGGTCAGGGCTGGTCTGCGGGCTCGGAAGCTGCAGCCCCCCCCCAGTAATGCCAAGACTGAGCGTGTCCCTGAGCACATGCAGAGTGCTTTCCCCACACCGCACCCCCCTCCTGAACACCACACATTCCCCCAATCCCAGCGCACCTCTATTCGGGCAGAAGCCGTATTTCTTGTCCTGGTCAAAGTTGGCGGTGGTCGCGCACCAGCGGTAGCCATCCGTGCGCCCATCAGTGGTGCAGCCCTGGTAGGATTTTCCGTCGAAGACAAAGGGGAAAACGCACTTGTCCCCATTGCTGTTCCCGTCGTAGGTGAAGAGGACTAGGAGAGCAGCCAGGAAAAAGGAAGTCACCCATTAATTCCTGGCTGGGTTTCCCTGAGGAGGCAGCTCCGTTCGCTTCAGTGTTTGCCATTTATTCAATTTCTATGCCACCCAAAGTGCCAGAGAGAACGCCGGTGGTTCACCACTAAACAAGAAGCAGGGGCCTCAGAGTAGCCCCCCCCCATCTCCCCCTGGTTAGATTCTCAGTAAGGGCCTGGTTGCCTCCGCCCCCTCCGGGTTTTAGCTCCTCCCCCTGGGAGGGACTGTGCAGTTCAGCTTTCCAAATCCAGATGCCCCCTTCCGGACACCCGCCATCTCCCCACATGCTGTGGGGCAATCAGGACTTCAATCCTGATCAATCCCATCACTAGAGACTATTAAGAAGAGACTGGACAGCCACTTGTCCACTGCTTGAGCAGGGGGCTGGACTAGAAGACCTCCAATGTCCCTTCCATCCTCTATTCTATTCTATTCTATTCTATTCTATTCTATTCTATTCTATTCTATTCTATTCTATTCCATTCCATTCCATTCCATATTCTCTATTCCATTCCATTCTATTCCATATTCTCTATTCTATTCTATTCTATTCTATTCTATTCTATTCTATTCTATTCTATTCTATTCTATTCTATTCTATTCTATTCCATTCCATTCCATTCCATTCCATATTTTCTATTCTATTCTATTCTATTCTATTCTATTCTATTCTATTCTATTCCATTCCATTCCATTCCATTCCATTCCATTCCATTCCATTCTATTCTATTCTATCCTTATTTTCTATTCTACCACTACCACTACCACTCCTACTCCATTCCATTCCATTCTCCCTGCCCACTTTCCAAGCCCTGGCTACTCACGTTCGCTGGGGCAGAAGCCGTATTTCTTGTCACGGTCAAAGTTGGCGGTGGTGGCACACCAAGGCAGCCCGTCCTCTCGCCCTTCGGTCGTGCAGGAAGAGTAGCTTTTGCCCTCAAAGGTGAAGGGGAAGCGGCAGGCGGACCCGTTGGCATTCCCATAGTAGGTCTTCACCACTGGTCGGAGGAGAGGAGAGCGGGCGTCAGGCGGGCAAGGCTCCGGGGCCCAGGGAAGCACCCGGCCAGCAAAGGGGCCAACTCACCGAGGCCTGTGCCCAGCGTCCAGAACTCGTCGTCGTCAAAATGGGCATCCCCGCTGAACCGGTCTTTGCCAGGAGGGAAGGCGTGGGCGAGAAGCCCATCCTTGCCATCAAAAGGGTAGCCGTCACCGTGCTCTGGGGGGGAGGGGAGGGGGCAGCACGGGGGAGAGGGGGAGAGTGGTTACAATTTGAGCAGGAATTCTTCCATGTGCCCAGCCCCCAGACAGATGGGGGGGGCGATCCCAGCCGTGCCCCAAGGCTCTCCTCCCCTCCAGCTCACCTCCGGTCCCAAACTGGATGAGAATGTCCACCTCCCCTTCCTCCTGGCGGGTGAAGGTGAGGGGCGCCACCTGGCTCCACACCTTGAAGGCTCTGGCAAAGGCGTCTTCGATGACCGCGCGGTCCAGGTCGGGGGAGTAGTTGACCACCCTGCCGAAAAACAGAGGCTCAGAGGCTGCCCGGTGTGCCAGGCGCCCCAGCCCCCTCCTCGTTCCCCCCTCCCCCCGGAAAAGTATAGCTCTGCCTCTGAGGGGTGGGCAGCCTTCCCCAATCTGCTTCCCCCCCCCAGGTATCTCGGGGTCCCGCCCATTTGCAGTCTGCCACGGGGACTGTGAAGCAGCCGGGGGGGGGGGACACTTACTCACCGGTAGGTGAGGTCTGTGTGGTCCCACTTGAGGTCGCCCTGGAACGTCTGGAAGTGCCCGACGTCCGGGACTCCGCAGCGGGGCGCCCGCATGGCCTCCAGAGTGGGGGCGTCCAGTTCCCCTGTTTCCGGCAAGCCCAGCCGCTTCTGCATCGCCCTGAGGGGGGTCTCCAGCTTCACCTGCCCGCCGGGGTTGGTGGCCGTCAAGTACCCGTAACGCTGGAGGTAGCGCTGCGCAGACCGAGAAGAAAGAGGGCGCTAGCGGAGGGCACTAGGGAGGCGGCGGGAATGTGCCAAGGGGGCGGGAGGAGGGCGGCCGGGTTAGACGGGGGGAGCCCAGAAGGCTCTTCCTTGCTGTTGACCTCACATCCTGATGTGCAAAGGGGTGGGGTGGGGGGGACGGTGCTGGACCGGCTGGTAGGGCCAGAAGGCTCTTGACCTTGACCCCAACCCTCATCCCGGGACTGGGTCCCGCGGGGTCCACCGTGCTTCCCTGGGACCAAAGGAAGAGCCGGGGAGGGGAGGAATCACAGGCGGGGCTGGGTTCTCACAACAGCGTCCGCACTCGCGCCACCTGACCTGGGTCGGACGAGCGCAGCGCACCGCGCCCTAAAGCGAACGGCGCCCGCGGGGGACTGGAGGCAACTGGGCGACCCGGAGGGATAGCAGCGTCGCCCCTCTCGCCCTCCCGCCTCTCCCGGTCTCGGGAAGTACGAGAAGCGGGGGGGGGAGCAGGAGGGGCGCCCCGGTCCCGGGGAGAAGGACCCGCGAGAGCGCGCAGCTCGGAGACTCACGGCGGCGACCTCCCGGTCCGTCATGCCGCCGACCGCGTCCCCGGGGAAGTGGATGACCACGGGGCCCTTCCCTTCCCGGGGGGCGGCCCGGGCGAAGGGCGGCGGCAGGAGCGCCAGGAGGAGCAGGAGGGCCGGGCCGGGGGCGCCCATGGCTGCGGAGGCGAGGCGGGCCAGGGTCTCTCCTTCTCTGCTCTCCGCTTCTGCGAGTGGCGCGCAGCTCAGCCGGGCACCGCTGTCTGCAGCCCGACTGCCGGCGGGGCCCTTTATGTCCGCGGGGAGAGGGAAGGGGGGGGAAGGCTGAGTCAGCCGCGGTCCCTCCCCCGGGAGCAGAGGGGGAGAACCGGCGGGGCGCTACCGCTTCCTGGACTTGTCTCAACAGGAAATGTGAAACGCAGCCGGGACCCGCCGCCGGTTCGAAGAGGGCAGCCGTCCGCCTCGACGGGGCTCGGACGTCGCTGCAGCCAGGAGTCAGCACCCGCGGCGCCTCTGGCTCCCCCGCCCCCCCCCGCTCCCTCTGGCCTTGGCGGAGCGGCATCGGTGCCACCAGAGCCCCTCCAGGCGCTGCCCCACTGGCCGCTCCCTGCCTCTGATGGGGCAGGACGGGATGGAGCTTGGGGGGGGGGGTTGGGAGAGGGGTCGCCTTGGACAGCTAGCCGGACCAGGGGGCTGCCTGCCGGAGCCTCTGTGAGCCAGGCTTCCATCCAAGGGCATTCTGGGCATTCTCCTGGCCCAGGGCCCCTTCTTTGTCTGCCCAGCTTCCAGGAGGGGCCAGGCCCTGGGGGAGCACTCAGGGACAGCCCCTGCTCTGCCTTTGGGAACACTGAGGAGGCCGGGACACTCCCAGGGCCCTTCCCTTTCCCTCCGTCTTCTCTCCGTCACCCCTCTCCTGGGTGAAGGGCCTGGCCCCTGAGGCAGCCGGCTGGCCTCTGAGACCCTGGGCGCTTTTGCCAGGACAGACTAACCAGGGAGTTATCGGGCATCCTGGCTAGATTGGGACTGCCGTGGTTTAGCTCTGCATCCTGGCCTCCCAGCCAGCTCTCCCAGTGTCCCAAAGAGAGGGCAGGGCAGGATGGGGAGGGGGGCCATTAGCCTCTTCACAAACCTGCCCCCTGACCTTGCACAAGCCTGCTGGCTGAGACCTCTGTGTCTGTTTTGGAAAGCCTGTGAATGTGGCACTCAGGGTGGTGGGGGGAGGGAGAGGGGGGGGGAGCCCAGCAACCTGTGGTTTCAACATGCTGAGCTGGAGCCACTGAGCACAGCACGGTCTGTCCAGCCGCCAGGGAGGAACCACTCATGCCGCAATCTCTGCTGACAGCAGTGCAGAGCCCCCTCTCAGCCCTCCTGCAAGGCCAGCGCTCCTCCCCTCCTCTCCAGAAGGGGACAAAGACACCCCCCCACACACACACTTTGGGCATGTTGGGGGGGGGCTTGGCACGGGAAGTGAAAAGATATCCGTGTGGCTCTTTCCTGTGTAGAAATGCTTTGTAAAAGAGAGCACATAGGGAGGGCAACATGACACCCCCCCCCAAAAAAAAACCCACAATCAGATTGTCTGCCTAGGGAAGCATATTCTGCAGCTCCTGAGGAGCCCCAGAGAAGCTGAGCACCTCTTGGGATCATCCTGTGACTCAGAAGGGGAAGGAAAGCCATCCACCCCCCCCCCCACATCTTCTCTGTCCCCCAGGAGGTTCCTGTGATCCACCTGGAGTTTCCCTGCTCTGCTCCCAGACAGAGTGGGCGAGGCCTCCCTCCGTCTCCCTGCTCCCTTCCAAGGTGTCTCATGGGGAAATCCCCAGAGGGAGAGAGGGGGAGGGGAGAGCGATGGGAGTGGGTTTTTCATGCCAGCCGATGCCCGTCCCTTGGGGCCTGGCAGAAACCAGGGCTTGCCCCTGTCGCCATATGAAGAGTCTGTCTGGTGTCCTGCATGTGTTTGGGGCTGGCTGTATGTGAAGGTAGCCCTGGTGAGTCATTCAGACAAACTTTTCAAGGTGAGCGTGCTGAGTGACTCTGGCTGGGTATTGATTAACGCTAAATCTAGGGTAACCAAGGACCATGGTGGAGATAACAGAATAACAGAGTTGGAAGGGACCTTGGAGGTCTTCTAGTCCAACCCCCTGCTCAAGTAGGAGACCCTATTCCATTTCAGACCAGTGGCTGTCCAGTCTTTTCTTAAAAACATCCAGTGATTGGAGCATCCACAACTGGGAAGGCAAAGCGGTTCCACTGGTTGATTATTCTGTTAGGAAGTTTCTCCTTAATTCCAGATTCCTTGATTAGTTTCCATCCATTGTTTCTTATCTTGCTTTCTGGCGCTCTGGAGAATAATTTCACACACCCCCTCTTCGTGGCAGCCTTGGAAATACTGGAAAGCTGCTATCATGTCACTCCTAGTCCTTCTTTTCACTAAACTGTCTCTAGACCAGCGGTTCTCAACCTGTGGTTCGGGACCCCATTTGGGGTCGAACAACCATTTCACGGGGGTCGCCAAACAAGGCTGTCCGCCATTTTCTCTCCCTTTTCTTTGGCCACGCCCCTGGCACCCGGTGATATGTATAAGTGGTTGGGGGTCACCACAACATGGGGAACTGTATTATGGGGTCGCGGCATTAGAAAGGTTGAGAACCACTGCTCTAGACATAGCCAGTTCCTGCAACCGCTCCTGATATGCTTTGGCCTCCTCTTTGTTGCTCTTCTCTGCACTCTTTTTGGCATGGGCGTGGCAAAAACAGCCTGCCCAAAGGAGAACAGATCCCGTGGGCGAAGCCTACTTATTTATTTAAAACATTTAGATAATATTCACACAGTATCTGAAGAGGACACCCGCATTCGCTCAGCTGGGCTAGGTCTCTGGGGGTGGGGGTCGGGGGCGCAGCCCCATTGGGTCCCCTTCATCCCTCTGCTTTCCTGTTTTCCCATTATATCTTCTATCTTTCTCTTCTGTTCCCAAATTTGGCCCCTTTGCAGATGTGATTCGGTTCCCATCTCTCTTCCCGTGGAGCCTGCTTCTCACGTTCCTCCTCTGTGGGGCAACATCTGTGACTTTTGTGGGGGGGGGCACTGCCAGGGGGTTGTTGAGACCCAGGATGAGCTCATTGTCCTTGGGGGCCCAACAGCCACGGTCACCGTTTCCCACCAATGCCGGGCCAGGAAGAAACCTGGAAGGCGTTGGGAAGGCCCAAGGGTCTGGCTCCCCGGGACGGGCCCACAGCCTGGTGTAGGCCCAGAGGGACGTTCTCGGAGAGGGGGGATGGGAAGCCCACCCACTGGGTCATTCGTGGCGGAGTCCCCAGTGACCCAAAAAGGATGCAGCCTCATCCCCCCCCCCCCAGGCCTTGGGTGAGTATGCAGGCTCTCATCGGCAAAAAGGGAAGAACTCTGTGGGAAGTAAGCCACCACTAGCGCCTGAGTCACACCGGGGCCTTTGACACATGAGTGCTCATGGGGGATTCCCCCCACCCCGCCTCGGAGCAGCGGGTGCCCACCTTCTCTGGGGCACGGGGGGGGGGAACAGGCCTGCTGGGGCTTGCAGGGGGCCGACCCTGCCGCGGGGAACAGCCCGGAGACCCGGGTTGGCCTCCCATCTCCAGGTGGATGCAGTCGGACCAATCGGAGCACTGCTGTGGGTGCTCTCGCAAAATGGCTGCAAAGGAACTGCCTGTTTATAAGAGTACCATCGTTGGGGTCCTTCTCCCTCTGCCCCCCCTCCTCCCAGGCCCTCCCAGTCAGACTTCCCCTCTTTCACGTTTGTGTTTGTGGTTCGTAAAAAGTAAAATGCTAAAAAGGAGAGGAAGAATATACAGGTAGTCCTCAGCTTACGGCCACAATGAAACCCGACATTTCCGACGTTAAGTGAGACTTTTGTTAAGTGAGTTTTGCCCCACTCTATGACTCTTCTTTCTGCAGTTGTTAAGTGACTCATTGAAGTTGTAACAGGGTTGTTAAGTGGATCTGGCTTCCCCCATTGGCTCTGCTTGCTGGAAGGTCGCAAAAAGGGATCACGTGACCCCCCCTCGGGACAGGGCGACCGTCATAAATGTGAGTCAGTTGCCAAGCGTCTGAATTTTGATCATGTGACCCTGGGGATGCTGCAAAGGTCGTAAGTGTGAATAACCCTTTTTCCGGTGTCGTCGTAACTTTGAGCAATCACTAACAAACGGTTGTAAGTCGGGGACAGGAATGTTCTCCGTGCAGTGACGATACAACCGTTCAAAGCTACAGTCGCACTAAAAAAAATGGGCTTACGAACAGCCCTCACTCCTAACACCAGTCGCACCTTCCCCAGGGTCACGGGATCGAAACTCGGCTAATGTCGGTCGCCGGGTCTGATCACCGTCTGCAAATCTTCCCAGCTGGCTTCCGACAAACAAAATGGTGGGAAAGCTAGATTCGCTTAATGACTGTGTGATTTGCTTAACAACTGTGGCAAAAGAGGCTGTGAAACCGGGCGTGACTCATTTAAGCCTTGCTTAGCAGCGGAAACCTTGGTCCCAAATGGCGGTCATATGTTGAGGGCCACCTGTATTCTTTGTGTGTAGGTTTGTGTTACATTGACTTAGAAGTAAAACAGTCATTGCATGAGATAACACAAACCTACACATAAGGTGGTCCTCGGCTTACGACCACAAATCTAATTTTAGAAGAGGTAACAAAATATTAAATTTACAAAACCTGGGTGATTTCTGGGGTGGAACCTTTAAATCAAACTTGACCCGGTGACTCCCTGGACTAGCCCATCTGCTTTTCTCAGCTGCTCAGGTGGAAGCCCCGGGCCCTGGTCATCTTCTTCCCCAGGCTCACCCAAAGTCCCCCACTCGGCTCTTGTATCTAAGGCAGGACTAGAACTCGCAGCCTCCTAATTTTGGACCTCATTAGATCAAACTGGCTGTCATAAAGGAGCACAAGGAGCCCTAATGTGGTGTCCAGAAAGCTGGAAACTTGGATGGTGGGGATCGGTGCCAGCAGATGGGCTGTTCTGCCCCTCGGGGCCTAAATCGCCCCCCAGCTGAGACTCCTGGCTCCCGGAGACTGGTGTGGCTGTGCAGCCTGGTCAGTCTGACACAATCCATGACGAATGGCTCTCCTCCTGTCCAATCCTTGCAACCGAGGAGCGTGCAGTCCCCGTTTCTCTCCCCCCTTTGTTCCTTCCTTGGCTCAAAACACGGAAGAAACCAAGCGCACCTGCCAGGAGCGAAACAGGGAAAGAAGAAACACCCAGTTGAAAGGCAGAGCACAGGGAGCCCGTGGCTGGAGAGGGAGGGGCTGCAACTCTTGGCTGCCCCCCTGGGCACTCAGGTATACAAACCTGGACGATGGATGTCTTTGCAAGTT